TGTGTGTGTGTGTGTGTGTGTGTATGTGTGTGTACACGTGGTGAAACACCAAACCAATCTGCCAGGATCTGGACAATAAAGATGCATCTTATCTTATCTTATTGGTGCCTGGCGAAAGGTCCGCATTTCGAGGTGACAGCACGCGCAGTGTGCCTATTGTTATAATATTATTCTAAAGACACATAAGTTTATTGTTCCGCACTATCCCATGCTAGTAAATTTGTTTTTTTGAGAAGTGAGAATATGTGCAGGTCAGGGAGTTGTGTTTGTGTGTGTGTGTGTGTGTGTGTGTGTGTGTGTGTGTGTGTGTGTGTGTGTGTGAGAGAGAGCGTTGTTGTTGTTGTTGTTGTTGTTAAAAATTGTCTCACAATGTGCATTTTCTGCCCTTTGGTCCGTCAGTTGAGTAATAATTTTGCATTGTACAGCGCATTCTGTATTCCAGGGAATAAGTGTTGCTTTATACATTCCCATTATTTATCATACTTATATTATTTTCCACAGAAAAACCATCAGTAATTATTTCCTCGAACAGGGGGAGTACTGTTTTAGACACAGATACTGTCCAGTTGACGTGTGTCCTTGACAACCGTCGCTGGGATCAGCTGGGCTATATATGGAATGGCGGCGGTCGGTCTGCAGTGGGCAGAAAACGGACGTTGGACCTCCTGTTTCGAGCTGTGAACAGTTCAGTTGTCTACACCTACGAATGTTTGGTGTCATACAGCCAGTACTCCGATATTACATCTGCAGTCTATCGGTTTACAGTGAGGTCTGCGAGTGAGTTAAAAAAGATGTGTTGATCTACTGTCAAGCTATGACCTTCCTTTACTCTGTATAGGAGGCGACTTTCCCTTTCGTTTTACTTTGTTTAGCTGCTACTATCGGCCACGGATAATTCAAACACGCCGGGGATTGACAAAAGTAATGTCTAATCCAACCCGTCTACATTTTGGATTAACTGATAACGAAAACTTAAATAGATATCAGTCCGGGGATGGCACATTGATTGCACATTGTCATCATTGTACGAGCTGTCTGTGATTTCGAGTTTTCCGTATTCTAATTTCGTAATAGCTATGCCCGATTGTATTTTGGCAAATAAAAGACGGACTATTGCAATAATTCAAATTGATACATTTCATTGAAATGTCTCTGGAATTACAACTGAATTTTTTTCCATACATGAGAAAAAAAGCCGGCCTTTTAAGAAAGAAATGAGGTGGGAGTATGAAAAATATGTTAAAAAATTGTTTTTTCCGATGATCTTTAATATCTATGTTCTTTCTTAACACGGATGAAAACCTTCTAGTTAGAGACACAAATAGCCGCATGGAAAGAACCATTTCCGCTGGGTTTGATTTGAGTTTAGTTTTTCACCCAAAGCAAATCTTTTTCTGAATGTTATTCTCACATAATTCATTTTTATCTGCAGAGAGCAACACATATTTTTATAAGGCGGGCTTTGTTCTCAAAATGGAATCCTTGTCTTGGTACCCTGACCTAGCACTTGATTCTTCACCGATTTTTTCAGTCTTGAAATCATCTCTTGTTTTGAGGGTAAGTGAAAGCCACGCGTGTTTGTCGATATAGTATATGATTATAGTAAAGATTATTGTTATTTCAAAACCTAATATTTGTAGAATTTCTGAGTTAAAGGCAGTTATTGTACTGGTGCGCCCAATTCATTGCTTGCCAAAACAAGTGTACTTGTGCTGTATCTCTTTGCTCTCTCGAAGCTTACACGTGATTCACTTTGATCAAATGCGTGATCAGTTCAGTGAGGTCGAGTTATTTTATATTTAATATCTATTTACACTCGATTTTTAGCGTTTTAAAATTTATAATTAGTAATATTGACAAGAATCAGGCCGAGCCGTGAGCTATTGAGAAAAAAACAACTTGTTTCGCGCGCTCATATGACCTTATGCAGTTGCGAGCGCCGTGAAAACTCAGTACTAAACAAACGAGGTCGAGTTGGGAAATGATGCTGGCCACTGCACACTAAATGTGGGGCATGGTGGCGAAATTAAGTGCTCGTCAAAATAATGAAATCAAAGTAACTGACCTTGTCCCGAACGTTTGGCAATCTTCATTGGTTTGTTTCAGTTACCCACACCCCAATTCCATACGATTTGGATAAGTGGGAGTTAGGCGGTTTTCGTCCTGCCTGTCACTACTGTCAGGGACAATCCACGTTGAGTTGGACGCCACATCCCTGCAGACGAACGAACATTCTCTCTAAAACAAAAAACAAACAAACAACAGCAAAAAAACAACAACCACAAATCAAAGTAAAAAAATACACAAACAAACAAACAAACCCCCTCCCCATAAAAAAGAGAAACAACAAAAAACAAAACAAAGAAAAACAAAACGCTCTTATGGGAACCGTTCTCACGTCTTACAAGCACTGAGAGACTTAGAGCATGCATCCGAATAACAATAAGTGTGTATCTAGCTTAAGTTTATTTATTGTTTATATTGTTGCTCATATTATGCATGTGATTGTAAGCCTGCGTGTGTGTGCATGTGTGTATGTGTGTGTATGTGTGTGTATGTATGTGTGTGTGTATGTATATATATATA